AAAAAAAAAAAAAAAAAAAAAAAAAAAAAAAAAAAAAACACCAAACACTACCACAACACTCAACCATTCATAATTACACCCAAAATGTTTGCCACCACAAGTACAACATTTTACTGTTTGTTAGGGAAGTTGTTTCTTCAGCTGCTAACAGGCAGAGGCTATATATCGGACAGTAATGCAATTGTGCCCACAGAACTACTGTATTGTACCAGCATAGCAGAGGACTTGTTGAAATAGAAAGTAGAATGACTCCCCATTTCATTTGAAGATTCATTCTGTGACTCATCAATATTTCAGCTAATCCTGCTGCCTAGCCAAGGTCTTGATTATTTATTTATTTGTTTGTTTTAGCAAGCATGTCCCTGAATGGTCCCATTCATTAAATCCAGTCCAGGATGGGTAGAACATTGCAGTGGTGTGAAACGTGTACAAATAAATCATACATTGAGTCACTGTACATTTCCTCATGGTGTTATGCCTTCTCTTGCTGCAGATCACATTGCTGGTTAACGCAGAGCACACCGTGGACCTAAACAGCAGCTCTTCCTCTACAGAAGAGATCAGGGGATGAGATGAGGGCCAGAGCAACAAGGACATGGGGCTCAGGGCAGGGATCCCACAGCAGCAAGCGGGAGCGCTGCACGATTTAAAGGAGGCTGCTACCACCTGCTGGAGAAAGTGCAAATGGAAACGGAAAAGAGGAAACCAAAGGTTTAGCGAGCCACTTCAGGCAAGAGCTGGAAAGCGCCGCTCTGCGTATGGTCAGGCTACCGACCCTTCACCAGGATATTTGGGATTGGCAAAGCTGCTATAGAAACTCGAGCTGCCAATAGGTAAATAAGCGAGATCACCATGGAGGTTATGCCCATGTTTTGGATAAGCTACAAAGCGGCGGCCACCTGCAAACTCTCAGCGGTAGCTCAAGGCAGCAGTATTGCAACGAAACCTCAGGCCTCGCAAGTGAACGAAACTCAGAATTTAATTCTTATGCCTGCAGGGGTGACAACCTCCCACAGCGACTGTCTGATTGCTTGGCACAAGTCCGTTAGCCACTGACATGAAAGGAAAAGCCAAAGCACATCTCCATAGAGC